GCGGAAATGTAAATGAGTGTTCAATCACAAGTTTGGTAACCAAGGGAACTCAATGCTTTTCTTTTTTTTCTTCTTTTTCTTCTCTTTCTTTTCTTTTCTTCTTGTCTTCTTGTTCTTGTTGGGCGAGATGGTTACCTTTCGTGGGAGAGAGTTTTTTCATGGCTGGGAATGGAAGAATGAAGAGGGGGATTTAAACAGAGAGCAAAAACCCGCGCAGGGTTCTGGAACCAATCCACGCCACCCCACGCACGTGGATGGGGATCGTGGATGGTACGGCTTTTCTACGACGAACTCTGCTACTTTGTGGACCTCAGGCGTGGGACGTTCTGGAACCAATCCATACCACCCCACGCACGTGGATGGGGTTTGTTGAACCTTCTGGTTCCAATCAACGTGTTCATCCACGCACGTGGGATTTCCCCTGTATTTCGTTGAACATTTCCAATCCACGCACCCCACGCATGAGGATGGGGTTCATGGATTGGGAACAATCCACTCCCCAAAATTTTCCTTCTTTCTTTGTGTTATCTCCTCCAACTTTCAAACTTTTTTGGTCAATTTTTCCAACAAGAACACCTGCAAAAATGAGTTCCAAAAGTACCAAACAACAACACAAACATGGAACACTTTTGACAAAGCAAAATATTTACAAGAACCTTGGGTTGCCTCCCAAGAAGCGCCACGTTTTACGTCCTTGGCTAGACGAAACCTTCTTCTTTTCAACTTCCTTCAAAACCATTGGATTTGAGATACTTAGGTGCCCAAGACAACTTCTCCATTCCCCACCATTGTTTGTCTTAGCCTTAGCCTTGACCTTTTTCTTTGCAACACAAACACTTTCATTTTGCATTTTGGCCATTTCAAACTTGGCATTTTCCCCATTGAATCTTATGGTCAACTCACCCATGCCAACGTCAATGAGGGCACGACAAGTTTCCAAGAAAGGTCTCCCAAGGATTAACAGGGCATCATGCTCCTCCCAACATCTATGACCACAAAGTCAACCAGTACAATGTACTTTCCTACCGTCACCAACACGTCCTTCGTTATTCCTTTGGGGTGCCTTACGGACCCATCGGCTAAGCGAATGGTGAGTCGTGCTGGGGAGATATATGGCAATTTCAACCGGTCGAACACACAAGAAGGCATTACATTTATAGAAGCTCCGAGATCGGCCAACGTGATTCCAAATGCACAATCTTTGATCGAACATGGAACAACAAACGCGCCGGGGTCTCCCATTTTGATTGGGTACCCCGTGTGGATCACGGCCGACAACTCATTGCCTAAATAAGCTTGACGCACAACATTTTCTTCGTCATTTTCTAAAGCATGTTTCAAATGACAAGCACAATGAATTTTTTGAAGAAAAGTGTTTACCTTCCCTTTTCTTTCCCACGTGTTCATGTAGATCATCTTTGTTGAGGGTGGTGTTGGTGGTTGATTTCTCGAGGAAACCACTTCCTTCTTTTGAACTTTGAGGGCACAAGAGGTGTCCTCTCCTCCTTTCTTCTTTGATGGACCACGCGAGGTGGTCTCAATGTTTCTCACTTTTTGACTACAAGAGGGTGGTCTTCTCACAAACCTTCTCTATAGCATCTCTTTTATCTTCCTTATTACTCAAGACCATCACGGCATTCACCCTCTCCTTGGGATTGTTTTCGGTGGTACATGGCAATGCACCCCACGGCCTCTCGAACATCATCCGGGACATTTGAGCTACTTGAGTTTCAATGTTCTTCATTGAGGACGTGTAGTCTTGCCTCACCGCGACTATCTCTTGCCTGTCTTCGGTGATCTCTTGCTTAAGGAATCCTTGCTCCTTTTTTATCTCTTTGATCACCTTAGAGAGTCTTTCTTCCACTTCTCTTGCTTCACTTCTTAGAACCAACGAGTCACCTTGGGAGACAATCGGTGGTCGGTAAAGAGCATTTGACAATCCTTGATGAAATTGTGGGCCATAGGCAATTCGGTCTCTATCTCTTCACAAACCATAAGTGGGTTTCGACTTGGATTTCCTTGGGGCCTCCCTTGATACCCCGGTTGATTCCAACCATTACCTTGTTTCCAATTTGAGCTTTCACCTTCCCCGTAGTTGTATGCATTGCCACGGGGTCCTTGTTGGTAACCCACGGCTTCCACTTGCTCAAAACTGCTTGGTGATGTGCACTCCATCGTATCATGAGGTCATCCACACACATTGCAATATAAATCCAAAACCATGCAAGGTTGTGATTTGGCTTCTAGCTTCTCCACAATGGATTGTAGCCTTTTGATTTCAAGATTCATTGCATCTACTTTAGCATCATGGGCCACACTCTCCTTGACTTCATACATTCTGGCTTTTGCATCTCTCTTGTTGTACCATCACACTAGCATCATGCTCAAGATTCACAATTCAAATCCTAAAAAGAATCTAGCCATTCATTGTAGCTAGGCAAATCCACATTGCATCAAGAATTAACAAAGCAATTAGAGATAGAAAGCAAGTAAATGTACCAAAACTTGATTGAAAAGGTGATTCACTCCTACAATTAGCTCCTAGAGTTGGAAGATTGTCAAGCCTCCTTCTCCAAGAGTTCTTCAATCAATGCAAGAGGGCTAGAGAGAACCTAGAGCTCACAAATTGGGAAAATAAAATGTATCTAATGTCTAAAATGATCGGAACTCCCTATCTAAGTCTAATCTAGGCCTTTAAATAGTTTTTCCCCTCCAATTGCATCTCAACCGCGCACTGCCTCCAATCCACGAGCCGCTCCACGCTTGTGGATTGGTCACTTATGCCACTTCTCGCTTCAGCTTCACTAACGTGGATAGGATTCGTGGGAAGTTCTGTGTCCAATCCACGATAGTCCACGCTCGTGGATTTGCCTCGTGGGAACTTCTGTATCCCATCCACGCGGCTCCGCAAGCGTGGATGGGCTTCTGAACCGCTCCGATTTGCTCTTGGCTCGGGATGTTTCGGTCCGTGCCCATATGCCTTCCTCTTAAGCTTAAATCCTTACACAATCACAAAAATACAAAGTATGGTGGAGTTTTGCAGCATATTCGAGCATAATTAACCATAAATCAAGTACAAAGGATAGCAATTGAGTACAAAACATCCCCTTAAAGTCCCTTAAATATGAGTGTCTTTAGCACTTATCACCTATAAGTGAAATGATGAGAATTACCAAATTGAGGATGATAAAGGAAAGCAGTTTAAAATGAACTTAAGTCAATATCATTGATCATGCAGAAGATCGGATTTAACAGGGGTTCCTTGTTCACATGTCATTTCAGCTATTTGGTTAAAAGGTTATTAGCCAGCGGATCAGATTATACAGATGAGTGTTACTCAGTTGAATCATACCTCAAAAGTTATGAGTCAGTCATACCACATATAACCTCTTCTGAAATGTGGGCTAAGACTGGGAAACCACCACCACTTCCACCAAAATACAAAGTTCGGCCAAAGAGACCTAAGAAGCTAAGTTAAGAAAACAAGATAACACAGAGAATGAAATGGCTTTTACAAAATTGTCTAAGGTTTTATATATATATATATATATATATATATATATATATATATATAAGTTCTGTTTCTGGCAAGACATGACACAATAAAACTTCATGCAATCAAGGAAATGGATCTATAGCTAATAAGGTATTTCATAGCCTATATGTATGTATGTATTCTTTTATATATCTAATTTAAGTTTTTACATATTGGATGTATTCCAGCAACACCAAATAGGCAATGGAGTGCAACATCAACCTGTTCATTCTAGACCAACAATTCTCCCTACAATAAGACCAAGCAACACTCAAGTGAATCAGATGACTCATATCCAACATCTCTTTAGCAATCCAACAATTGAGTCGTTCAGCTCCACCAAACCAATATTGTAGGGTTCCCAATCAACATGAATTACAAATCTGGCAACAAACTTAACGGTTATATCTATGTTGTAACTTTTTAATACCTACCAATGCATAGTTGGCAAGTGATGTTCTCATATATTGTGCATCCTTTATCCATTGTAGTGCATAACCAGCTCTATTCCTCCACCACCAATTGCAAGTCAGGCTACCCAAGAATCCATACCTGCTGAACAATCAAATATGACAAATCAACTAAAAGAAAACAAAGGGAACCAAATAGAGTGACAATAAACCAGAAGATATAAGGATATCTTAAGTTGTGTAACCATTAATTCTACAAATGTTTTTTTTGTAATTAACTGCAAAGAAAAGGTTCCCTAATGGTTTTTGTAAGACTTATTAGAGTCTGATGCTTTTCTTTTAGGTTTAGCACTTAAACAACCTATGTAGTATGATGGTCATATGCTCTTCTGTTTTTTGTTTTTTCTTCTCTTGGCATTGCTTTTGATGGCAACATTTTTTTACTTACTTTTGTATATTAATGGTTTTGGCACTACACCAAATATGACATTTAGAGGCGGTTTTTTTTACGTTTAGCGGCGGTTACAAACCGCCACTATTGTGTTTAGCGACGGTTACTGAAGCGTGTCTAAATAGTGTGTCGCGAAGCATTTAGCGGCGGTTTTCTACAACTGCGAGAATTCATGAGAAACTTATTTAGCGGCGGTTTTGAATGCACAAACCGCCGCTAAATAAATCTGTTTATTTTCGTTTGCTTTTAGCGGCGGTTTTGAAACCGCCGCTAAATAAATCTATTTATTTCCGTTTGTTTTTAGCGGCGGTTTTGAAACCTCCGCTAAATAAATCTATTTATTTTCGTTCGCTTTTAGCAGCGGTTTTGAAACCGCCACTAAATGAATCTATTTATTTTCATTTGCTTTTAGCGGCGGTTTTGTAACTGCCACTAAATAAATCTATTTATTGTATTCTTAAATTTTAATGGCAGTTATTAAGTGTCGCTAAATGTTTTATAATTACATTATTATATTTTTATAATAATCATTAAATTATATTTCTTCAAAAATCTTTATATTCAAATGCGTATAATCACAAATAAACTCTATATACACATTTAATTAAAAAGAAAATCAATTGTAAGTAATATTATTTGTCAAATAATAACATTTAATAGTATTCAAAGAAGTTGGTTCCTCATCTTAGACAGTTCAAAACACAATTCTTCAAATACACCGTTCAAAACACAATTCTTCAAATACACGAAGCTGAGCAGATGCAGGAAGCATGGCATAGAGAGGTACTGTTGTTCACTGGTAAATTTTTCTCCATTCTCGCTAGGTCTTGAATATTTGTGGTTGCTCCTAAAGCTGAACACATGCCATTGGTGGAGAAAAATGAACACATATAGGAGCAATAGTGACAGGATCAACTTCTCTTCCAGTAGTCCTTTTTCCCAGAAGCAATGTAGGTCAGCATTTCTCTGTAAGCATCCATCATTTATTTATAATTCCCTAACTTAGAAGTTTTCTCAAGATAAAATAGCATAAACATTAGAGTGAAGGCATGAAGAAGGCACTCACAATTAACACCCCTGAGTAGTCCTTCTCTTGTTGAGCAATCACCCCTAAATACTCTGTCTGTCAAGAAATAGTGACAATTCAAGTTAAAAAACCAGATACAAACCCCCCTAAACAGACCTCTTGGCAATCAAAATCTCTCATCCTGAACAAGATGAGTTTAATGAAAAGAAAAAAGTGGGGAGTTCCCTCACCAAATGTATAAGCAGTTGGAAGTCCAGAACGCTCCTGGAGGCTATTCCTATACAAAATGGTGGTGTCATTGATGCATTCCCAATTTGAAACTTCATTCCTTGAAATCTCCTTTTCACTCAAAGGCCTCAACCTCACTACCACCAAGATCTTCTCTTCTTCTCCAAGTCCTGTTCCTTGCATTTTGTCTCACTTCATAGATTATTCCCCACCAATGGCTCCCATTTGTTAGAAACTAACAAAAAAATAAGAAGAAAAAGAGCAAAGCTCTAAGAGACCAAGCATATACTCAATCCATAATAACTGACCAAAACTAGAGAAATGCACATCAAATTAGCAGTAGATGACAAAGCCAGATGGACTATAAAACTATAGGCAAACTGTAGACGTGACAAAGTTCACCTATGGCGAATGAATATGATAGTAAACTGCAATAGTTAGCCTAGATAGCTCTATTCAAACTTAATACAAAGTTTTAAAAAGTCTCCAAAATATATTTATTCATCAGAAACACAAAACATAAACGCCAAACCTCCAAAGCCTTAAACCTTCCATCATATAGAAAATTCAAAAATTAATCTCTTTATTTAATTTTTTAAATTAAAAAAATTATAATACAGCACGCATCTCATTTTGATTTGGCTACAAAATTTCAAACACATACCGAGGTTTGCTTACGGAGATTTCATATTTGGAGGTCGGAGGCTGACGGTCGGCGGTGGATGGCGAGGCTGGAGGGTAGCGTTTGGCGGTCCTGACGGTTGTGGACGGCGAGGCTGAGGGAGACTCAGAGAGTCGGAGCATTCTATTTCAGTACAAGTTTTGAGATTTCAGAATTAATAACTTATTGAAGAGTGGAGAAGAGATTAAATACCTTAGAGAGGAGTCATGGCGTGGCTACAATTGATTCTTCTTTTGAATGAAGGACTCAATAACCCTCCTCTAAATCAATGGCGGACTGTCTTGGAAGAAGGCAACGGAAGAAGGCGACAGAAGAATGCAACAAAAGACCTGATTGAAGTCTCAAGTGTGATAAAGAACAACTGCCAGTAGGCTATAGGCACTTGCGGTTGTACGATGATATGGGCCACAAACAACAATCATTTTTGTAAGAGCCTTCAGTTCAAAATGAAATCATATATAAAGTCAATTTTTTTTTAATCTATGCAACTATATAAGAGTTAATAATTCATGAAAATTGAAAAACAATCTTATATACCTTTGTTACAAAATTCAAGGCATCTTCCAGCTTCCCTTTGTCAAGAGCAATCTTAGAGGACTCCAGTAAGGTTCGACCATAAGCAGAAGAGCATACAACATGCTGTGAAGATCATTTTGATGAGCAATATTCTTTTGTTTTCACTACTTAAAAATACTAATGCCAGCAGAATATCAAAGAATTTTATAAGCCAAACTGATTAAACAAAATTATAAGCTAAGTGAAAGAAACCTTACTTTACACAAATTAAGGCACTAAACTGATGACATCAGTTTCACAAAATGGATTTGAACTTTCCACGTCATAATCTCTGGAACCAACTCTATCCCAACCTATGAAGAAAAAAAATTCAATAGTTGTTCACAAAAGCTAAAGAACAAATCAGCTAGTTGTGATACTACCTTGTGATAGAGTCCACGAAGTATTGACAATTTTCTCAAGCATCATTCAGATTCCAACCAAATCTTTTCAAAAGAAATTCACTTAACCATTGGAACTTGAGAATGAATTTGGTCATCACTCAATTTCTCTTCTCTGGGGCTTCCATCCTCCCTTTGGTTCAAAATTGTGAACTGAAAGACATACATTATCTTACTATCTTTTGATGTGTGGGTTGATGATGGAGACCACATTGATAGATTGATATCATGCTAGCTTGTATATCTAAATTATGAAAGAAACCAATGAAATCTTGAGAATGAATCATGATCTGCAAATTATATTTTTATCAGAACAAAACTTGACACTACTTAATACTTATACGTACAGAGAGCCATTATTACCTTGGCAGATTGATCAGCAGTTTGCATGCTTCAATATATGGTTGCTCTATGTCAAAATTTAACAGTTTCACTATCCAAGAAGAAAAGATTAAAGTAAATAATTATGCCAAAAACTCAAAACTATTCCATTAATAAAAAGTAATAAACCAAATCTGAAAAACAGTTTCTCAAAACTACCAAACTCAAGAAGGTCCATTATTTATGCATGTCTAAATATTCTTAAAATTAAAATGATTCCAAAGACATGAGGAAATATTAATGTAAAAAGGTGCACATTATCTTATAACTTGTAAGCATGTATGGTCTAGCTTTAAATGAAAGATGATTATAAAACAGTAATCAGAGACGAATAATTAGTAAAAATATATACTGAGACAAGACTTGCACACTTTCTTAGTAATATTCATTTTATCCTTAGTTATTTTAACCTTCATTATTTTAGCCTTCACTCTCTTAACTAGACTTATCTTTCTCTTATCCCCTGTTAATCTGTTATCCTTCTTAGTTCAAGAAAAATATAGCCACATTTTATCCTTAGTTATTTTAAGCTTCATTATTTCAGTCTTCATTATCTTTTAACTATTTTTATCCTTCTTAGTTCAAGAGATTAAAAAAAAGGTCACATTTTATTCAAGATAAATAAAGATACAAACCCTAAATGTGATTAGATTTTAGGAAAATTTTGAAAACACAAAATATAATTCCCTTCCAAGAAATTAAATGTAACTCTAAATCAGTATGTGCAACTAGAAAGTTCTTCCAACAAATTCATAGACAATAAAGAAACATACTAAGTTCATGAAGCATAAAGAAACAAACACAGGAATTTCCAAACCAAAACATTTATTACACACCACAGCCAAACTATTTTCCTATTAACACAAAAATAATTAACAAGGGCAAATAAAATAAGAACAGTACATGGATATATTGGCGACAGAATACTTGACGATGGTGCCCGGTGACAGAGTGATTGAAGAGAGCGTTAGATGTGATTGTCAAGGAAAACCAGTGAAGAAGTGAAAACTGAGAAGCAGGTGGGAAAGTGAGAAAGTGAGAAGGGTGTAAGGTAGGGCATAATATATATTTATACTAATATGTAAAATAAAAAACCAAAACAATTGAATTGCATCGTGAATTTTCTTCGGACGAAAATTTCCAACAGTACAGTACCAGTTATCAGGCCGCCGGTAGAATTCCTTGACAGTTCATCAGAATTCAGAAATGACCGGAAATGAATCGAAGCAGCTTATCACTGGTAACAGTGGTAACCTCTCAGAAAACTAGAAACACCTCCCTTCGTCCAGAGTTGGAGTTCTTGACTTCTCGTCGCCTCGCCGGCGCTGTCGCAACGGAGGGCGGAGGCGGAGACCAGAGACTGAAAATCACAGGGGCAGTCGCAGTGCAACGAACTAGCGGAGAGTGTAACTTGAAATCGCAAACGAACAGCTAGGGATTTTAGATTTTTAGGGATTCAATGTCTCATGTCTAAATAAGGTTATGGAAGAAATAAGTGTTAAGGATTGAATTGGAGAACGGCAGAGTGGCAGACTGGCGGAGAGTTGTGACTTGCCAGGCTTTTAGAGTCGGAATATTCGCTATTTATATGTTGCTAAACATTGAATTTGTTGTAGTGTGGGAAGAAACTGGGTTGATTTATTTTTGGGCTAAACTAGCGTTGATGTGTATTTTGGGAGGAAGAAAATTTACATAATTACCCACTTATCACCGTAAATTTTATCTTAGGTAAAGAATTAAAATGATCACCAAGCAAATAATTTTAAGGACTAAAAATAGAGTCACATGTATAATTAAAAGATTGAGTTGGATATTCTAATTTTAATACAATTGAGGAACTAAAATGGTCATTCTTCCGATATTAATTTTTACATATTTACCAATTATAATTATATATAATATATAAGTAATCAATCAATGCAAATATAAACTTGAATAAAATTATCAAATTTATTACAAATAAATGAATTATATAAGTACATGCAATATTTTGCCTAGACTATCGTAATAGAATATAATATCTAAGATTTGGATCATTTATTTATTAATGATAATTATATATAATTTTTACATTGGTAAGTTAGTCTCGTGGATATAAAGAGTAACAGTATTATAAAGGCGAAGTATAAGGATAAATTGAGTAATCTGCATGCATAATTTAGGAATTAGAAATTGCTATATATTGTCCCAATATAAAAGTTTCTATATATATACCTAAGATAAGAAAAGAAAAATAGTTGGTAACAGCGAAAATATAATGTGAAAAGAAGGAAAGTCCGATCTTATCTCCAAGCCTCTGAGAGCAATCAAACTCACACAACCAACTTTCCGTAATACAACAACTATGACCACCATTTTCATGGCTATATTTCCTCGATTACTTTTGAAATCCATTTCTGCTGCTACACAAGCAAGAACATAAAATACTGAAATATTTAGAGGATTTGTGCGCAGGATGGCCTTTTGGAAACACAGATATCATTGTTTCCCAATCTTAGGCCTCCTGCCTCTCCTCCTCCTCCTCCTCCTCTTGCACCATCCCATCTCAACCACCACCACCACCGCCCTCGCCATTCGCGTCCCCACAACTTCTTCTTCACCTTCCTTTCGGGAGGCTCCCGCCTTTCGCAATGGCGACTCATGCACATCCTCCCATAACACCACCACCCTCATCCACATTGTCATGCCCCTGGACACCAACTACATACGAGGTACAATGGCTGCCATATTATCCATTTTGCAGCACTCCACCTGCCCCGAGAACGCCTTTTTTCATTTTCTCACCATCAACTCTGATCCCGAGATTCTTTCCATAATCAAATCCACCTTCCCTTACTTGACCTTCACAATGTACCGCTTTGATCCTAAGCGCGTTCGCGGCAAGATTTCCAAGTCTATAAGGCAAGCCCTGGATCAGCCACTCAACTATGCCAGGATCTATATATCCGACATTCTCCCCGACGGGGTGAGCCGTGCTTTATACCTGGACTCTGACATCATCGTCGTGGATGATGTGGCCAAGCTGTGGGCGGTGGACATGGAGAACAAAGTGCTGGCAGCGCCGGAATACTGCCAGGCGAATTTCAGCAGCTACTTCACAGACGACGCGTTCTGGTCGGACCCGGTGTTGGCGCGCACGTTCGAGTGGCGGCGAGCTTGTTACTTCAACACCGGAGTGATGGTGGTGGACGTGGAGAAGTGGAGGAAAGGAGGGTACACTGAGAAAGTGGAGCAATGGATGAGGATACAGAAACACAAGAGGATATATCACTTGGGGTCTTTGCCGCCTATCCTATTGGTTTTCGCGGGCAACATTAGGGCGGTGGATCACAGGTGGAACCAGCACGGGTTAGGCGGCGACAACTTAGAAGGGAAATGTAGAGGGCTCCATCCTGGACCTATTAGCCTCCTGCATTGGAGTGGGAAGGGGAAGCCGTGGTTGCGCATGGATGCTAGGAGGCCCTGCACCGTTGATCTACTGTGGGCCCCCTACGATCTCTACCGTTCCCATTCCTCTATGGTTGCATTGGAGGAGTAATAGTGAATAGTGATGCCCGCAAACAATACTTAATATTTAGTTAGTTAGCAAGGGTTGATAATAGGAAGAAAACTATTTATCAATTGACAGTACTATTGCATGTCTGTGTATAGTAGACCAGATAAGCACCAATCAAATCAACTGTGAATTTTTGTGAGAACCAAAATCTCATCCCATTTCTCATTTGGTGACTTGTAGCTAGCAAGCAAGCAGTACATGCAGGACAATTATATTGTTCATTTCTACATAGATTCCTCCGTCATTACAGTGCTCTATCGGGTTGGATTCTATAATTTAATTAATGTGCTCTATCGGGTTGGATTCTATAATTTAATTAATGCACACTTGTGGTGTTTTAGGCAGAGAAAAGAAATCATTTTGTTACCCTGTCCTTTGATTTCAAAGGAGACTAGCCACGAAGCCACCTGTGATATTGTGCAAGACAGAAATTATACCTAGGTTCTGTCTCACTTTCAAACCGCAATAGGAAACACTATAATAAAAAACAGTTAACAATAATAACACACACGTTGCCGTTTGTATAACATTTTTTTTTAAATACACTTTTTTTCCTGAATTATATGCTTATAACACTTTTCTTTCATGAGTTAATTTATGTAGTCACAATTGTCCTCTCAATTATGTTAAAAGTGGCAATTTTTCCCCTTTTATGTTATATGGATACTTTTACCCTACAAAATAAGTACGGCATAATCGGGGACACTGTTGTAATAATATTCCAAAATAAAATAAAATAAAATAATTATTGAATTTAGACTATTTTAAAAATAAGAAATAGAATTTAAAATAAATAAGTAAATTTAGAATCAACAATTCAAAATTGAAACTGGAACCAAACCGAACCGGTTTCACATTTATTCTAATCCACATATAAATGTGATTGTATTTCAATTCCAGTTCATAGTTCTGAGAAAGTCATTTCAGTTCCAATTCACAATTCTAAAAAAATGATAAATCAGAATTCTAAAAAAATGATAAATCAAAATGGAAACCTTTTAGAAAAGTTTCAATTTCAGTTTAAACCGCAGTTCAAAATTTATTTATTGTAAATAATATTTCTTATTTTAAAAATAATCTAAATTCAATAATTTTTTAATTTTATTTTATTCTATTCAGTTTTGAATCGTAACCAAAATTGTTCCTACGGTTTCAATTTGATTGCTACAGTTAGATTCAAATCGAACCGTGATCATCTATACATATAAGCAATAATTTGTTAGAGAAAATAAATAAATGAAATACTTAAAATAAAAATTTTCATCTAACATAAAAGGAGAAAAAATTACCACTTAACATTACTTACGGAACAATGTGGATACATTAATAACTCAAGGAAAAGAAGTGCTATAAACATATAATTCAAGAAATAAAGTGTCATTTTCCCAAAAAAAAACAAATTAAAAAATGTACAATATTCGCCCATTATTGTTTGTAAAAGCTTCACTACCTAGAAACTAAAAGAAAAACCCAAGTGATTCTGCAAATATTTTGAGCTAATTTATATAATTTTACATTTCTGTAGTTCTTCATATAAAAGATATATTAAGGGCACATAAACCAATACTATGTATAAAGATGTTTGACTAACACGCCCTCCTCCCTTCCCAGCAAACCCAAAAGAAGCTTCATTGTGGAAAAACTATTAAGTACTCTTCACCAACATCACACCATACCACACCACTGTAAAAGAGATATCATCCCGGATACCTTATTACAACCTGAGGCTAATATATAAATATAATGCAAAATCTGGAACTTGGGGTTTCACCCACATCTAGCTCATACTAGCAGTCCGTCCATAAAAAGAATCATCTCGGCCAGTGCATTTGTCCAACAAGGTGTTTTGGATAACAGTACTGTTGTCCACATGCAACTTCTAAAGGTCAACACATAGATAGGAGATGATCGAGCCTGCTCTCCTTTTGGTCCTCGGGCTAACTTTCCACTTCTCTACTAGAACCTTCTTTATGTAAGCACAGCTTGTAATTACAGTGGCCACACCCGCTGTAGTAATGCCAGGGCAATAAACCATGTGGCAGGTTTCCAGCAGCGTGCACTTACTAACAAGATAGCTGAGACCCACATCTGTAATTTGACGGCAATGTGATAGAACTACATCCTTCAACAGTGGACAACCTTCACCTAACTCGGCCATTGCCATATCCCCCAAATTCTGTCAACATTCAATGACTCAACATTGTGTAAGTAATAACGTAAACAAGAGTAACAATTTAAAATAACATCAACGAATACAGTAACCTTTTTGTCCCCCCCCCCCCCCCCCCCAAAAAAAAAAGACCTTATATATTAAAGCTTAATTCATATGTGTGCATCAACATTGATATACATGTATACAACAAACATATAACAGTAACCAATAATAGTGCACAGGCAGAGTTGACATTTATATCTGCCACAAAAGTTGTGCAAGTGAAATAAAAACAATGCTAAATCTAAGTTCACTTGTTTAACAAAATTCGGTTCCTAATTGCCCATCAGCAATCCAATACTCATTAGACTTTGTCACATTGGATAAGCGCCTGATTGTCTATAATCACTGTGCAAATGAAAACTCTCACCAGCAGAATACATGAAAAATCATATGCAAATCCCAATCCCAACATACATCACATGTTTTGGTAGAGATGGGAAATAAGGGACACACCTGGAGAACACTCACATCCAAGTAACTTAGCTGAGGACACCCTCTGGCAATAGCAATAATTCCAGCATCTCCTATATGGTGGCAGCCACTTACATTCAAATGATGAAGAGAGCAACCCTGGCCAATGGCAATGAGTGCTTCATCACCTACCCTGGATATTGAATAGAATTTGATGTCTAATTATAGCCAAACACCAATAGCAAGAATTGAAGGTGTCAAAACAAACTGGTGACCTAGAATAACTTAAATAAGACTTAATATTGACCCACAGGCCACAACTTGAAAGCCAGTCTTGCTGATAACATTTTACCTGATAACATAGATATCTTGGAGAGATTGTTGGATACTAACTTTTCAGATAATTATGCAGTATTGAAAAGAGAAGGCACATCTTTTAAATGACAAGGAGAGAAACAAATCACCTACCTGTCACAGAATCGAAGGCTTAGATCTGCAAGGAATTTACAGTTTTCGCCAACAGCTACTATTCCTTTATTCCCAACCTATACAAAAACAGATAAAAGAAATCACGCTATTGAGACAAAATGGAAGAAAGAAGGGAAAAAAATAACTTCAAGTTTCTGTATGAAACACTAACAGACTACTGCCTTCAATCAAGTTATACCACAACTTGGAAAGATCAATGGCCAAAATGAATGATAAAGAAATGATACCTCATAACAGCGGCGAATATGAAGCTTTTTCAGGTTCTTGCAGCCACTAGCTATACTACAAATTGCATCATCTCCAATACTTGCACAATCAACCAGATGCAGAGCTTGCAAAAACTTGCAGCCTTTGCCAATTTCACACAATGCATAGTTACCAATCCTTTGACAGTATAGCAAGGCCAATTCAGAAAGCTGCCTGCAGAATGCGGTTATAAAAAATAAAAAATAAAAATCTGCATGATTTTCAATGGATGCACACTGGTCGCTGCCTGAACAAGAAAAAACTTTACTTCACATAATCCTAGAATCAACAATCAATTATGAAACAAAAGCTCTGATGTTTTCCTAATCATGCAGAGTAGAGAATAGTAGTTAAACAAAATGACAGCCGGACAGGAGAACTAACAATATTGCCTAGCTTCCTAATTATCCTAATTACAACAGCTTAAAGGTACACCAACACTTTAGACCTATTTTACCCTGCAGCATCTTTTTCTTTTTTTTTCTTGCACCTATGAGTATCACTGGAAAGTGGTAAGAGCAACAGCCTCAAGAAGCACCACATTCATATGCATAACAGCATAAGCTTGCATATGAAATGTAATTTTCAAAATCTAAAGTTTATATATTCACCAATGCTTATTAACTTAAAATGGTCAAATCTTTATCACCTATTTGCAAGTTTAGCCAAAACATCTAAATTTAGCAATCTCCACCAACATTTGATTTTTTTTTTTTTTACAATGTACACCAATCATCTATTATAGTTAAAATTTATTCGACCCAGATTCATTATCAATTTGTTTTCTACCCCTATATTTCCAAAGATCCTTCTACCCAAAAATGTTTCTTCATTCAGCACCACCAAGTACCAACTAAACCTTAATTTGGATCGATGAGGTCTGTTCTGAGTCTGCAATGGGGTGCTAGTAAGCAGCACATTCCATGATAAATGTGATTTGAGTGAATGGGATTTTATCCTGCAGCAGAAAAACGTGAGAATGACAAACTAATGGTGGTGGTGGCCTAAGTCTGGATTAGAGTTAGGAGCTTTCAGGATGGTAGTATCTTGGGTTGGCTCTGAGTTGCAACAAAAATCAAACACTAGCAGACTTGCAAAATTAAAAGCTGTGGCTAAAATTAAAACAGCTCACAAAGATTTGAATATTTTTATTTAATAGGTCATGTCTAATAGTACTAGTGTACTACTGATCCTCTACTCTGATTGGTGGAGATAAGCAGTATTAGAAAAATCAAATTCATATGCATCATCTTTGCATGTGAAACTTAATTTTCAAAATCTATAGCTTGTGAGTTAACTAACAATACACGTTCTCCCTTACTTCTCATCCTGGTAGAGGCATAGAAACAAGCAATCAAATTAAACCATATATAAAAGAGATAAAACACAAATGCAAAAAAAGAACTATCCTTGTTAAAATTGGCAAATCTGTCATATAATTTGTGGTCTATACTGGAAACCAAACCTTTTCTTGCTTATCAACTCATAGTATTTCCAAGCCTCAAGCATATCAAAAGCAGTAGATCACTGGAAGAAATTCAAAGGTTTAATAGAAAAGAACCTTCCAACTATAGAAGTGCTTGATGTAAAGATTTGTCAAACTGAACAAACAGCCAAAATATGAGTGCAGATGACCCACATCAAGCATGATGCAGATAATCAGTCAGAAACCCATAAAATCCATGACCAGTCAAATAGTAAACATAATAACAAAAAAAATTATCCACTACAGGAAAAGGAATGAGCGTACGTGCAAGATCTTCCAATGGACTCAAGCCCAAAGGTTCCTATATTGTGACAGCCGTTAACTTCAAGATGTGTAAGTCCAGAACAACCTACTGCCACTGCTTCTAAGCCTTTGTCACTTAAGAAATTGCAATCATTCAGTGTGAGACTCTTTAACCTCTTACACCCTTTCCCGATAGCACATAAACTCCTGAGACATAAGCATCAAAATTACAGGTGAGATGATTTAAATCTCAACTTTTCCTTTTAAGGTTGAAGTTATATCTTCAGTTAGACTTTACTAACAGAAGATGCATATAAATGAAACAGAGGATTCACCACATTATTGACAGAAGTTTGTTTAGGGATGAAGAAGCTAACCAAGTGTAAAAAAATACGAGTGAAATAAAAGGTGGACCACAAATGGGGATATTGGTCATACAACTTAAAAAGAATGAACAATAAATAAATAGTGCAGGCTTTTAGGTCAATACCAATCTTGGAACATTAAGCTACAACATAAATTAATCAAAAACAAATAAAAATAATAATAATAATAATAATAATAATAATAATAATAATAATAATAATAATAATAATAATAATAATAATAATTTATCCACAAGCAACTCACTTATCTGTGAATATCTGGAAACTGTATAAAGCCAATATCTCCAATGACAAACAGGAATTGCCAACACCTTGCAAGGCCTCATCAGAAACATTAACACATTGTAGCTTCAGTGTTTTCAAAAGAGGGCATCCTTGGGCAACAGCAAGTACACCTTTGTCCCGGATAAACTCTGAGTCTAATGATAATATCTCAAGAGATGTGCAATGTGACCCAACAGCTTCTAAGGACTTGTCGGTTATCTTTGCACAAGCAGCAACACCAAGTGATTTTAGTGTCTTTGCACAACCAACCACCAAGGAAACTAAGCCACTATCAGTTAGGCCTTCACAGAACCGCAAATTCAAATCTTCAAGTTGCTTGCAGAACTCCCCAACAGCTGCTATACCTTGATCTCCAATATAGCAACCCTTCAAAAAGAAATATGTTAATCAATGCAGGTACAGTGTTGCCTCATAGCATAAGCAATACTGCAGCCATGGCAATATGGCATTGTTGAAGAAAGCAAATCAAAAGTAACATGGGTGGAAAATTAGTCAGCCTCCAAAGCTTACTACCAAAATAGTCGGATTAAAAAAATAAAAATTGTGCTTGGCACAGAACATGTAGGCTTATTAACTTAACATAGCTAAGTGATATGCTCAGTTACAATAAATGTTGCACCGAACAATATTGAAATTGCCAATGAATTGAAATAGATCAACAAATTTGAGACTTGGTGTACAGCCTAGATTCAACAACAGAGAATACCTGTAAATCCAAAGCCTTCAATGATTTACAATGTTCAGTGATAGACCGCAATCCCACATTTGTTATATTGGAGCACCATATTAAGCTCAATGTTTCAATCTTACTGAAGCCCTCACCAACAGCAGTCAATCCAGCATCTGACAGACAGAACGACTGTGTCCCATTGTCTTCAGACCCTGTTTCTCCATTCTCAGAGTAAAACTCAGATTCAAGAGCATATTCAGTAAGTCGTCCTCTCTACATAATGAGCAAAAGGGAATAACACATTTAGACAAATGGCAATCATCCAGGTGTGAAAGCCCATACATGCATTTCCAAATTTAAAGTTAAGAAGCTAATTGGTAGAGATTAAATAAAGTAGTCCATAGAGACAAATGCACAAAATGGAGCTATCAACTAAATTTCACCAGTAGCCCACTCTACAGAAGCTACCGACTGAGAATTATGTCAACATAATATATCAAGCATCAAACTTTTAAAGATTAGGCTTGATTAAGTGGCCAAGTGCTCACTACTCAGCTCAATGGTTAAGTTCAGAAGTTCAAACCTAGAGCCCTACACAACCTTGTTGAAAACATAGGTAAAGGATGAGTACATGTCCCTTCCTAGGACCTACATGATGAGGGAGCCTTGCACACTAGTATAGAGAGTGTCACACTCCACCAATTCCAAAGTTGGTACTCCTCAAAATTAATCTAGAAGAAGTTCAAATTTTCGAACCCAATAACTTATTGGTGGCCATATAGCGTGAATAATTAAAATAAATCAAATAAAATCACTTGGCTCCGTCTAAAGATCAATTCCTTTCCAAAATTTGGGTAGAATGATCCTAATCTTTAAAATCCCACATTCATATTCACATATACTAACTAACTTCCCCAAAATCTCAGCCAAAATCAGAGACATAAATACGAAAGTTATAAGAAATTATTAAAATTAGGTAGATTTGAGAATCAGAGGACTTACAAACTGGACGGGGAGAGGAACGGACAACCGTTCATCGATGAATACGTTACGGACATTGGGAAATCGGCGAGCGAGGAGCTTGACGAGGGCGTTGGGGCTGCCGGAAGCGCCAATCCTCAAGGATTCACGGCTGAGCCGCTCGAGGCGGAGCCATCTCTTGCAGACGAGCGAGCAGGCGTCGCGGCTCGATTTCGAATCGAGCCGACAGAGGATCTCAACGATCAGCTCATCGGGTAGAGTCGAATTTATCCAGTCGTGACCCCTCATTTACAGATATTCCTCAGCAATTATACCCTTATATGCACACATACATACAAAGATGATGCGCATATAAATACAGGAACGTGTATGTAACTATTGAAGCTATACTCTGATTTTCAGATTTTCGTACACACAGACAGAGAGACAGCAAGAGCGAGCTGTAGAAGGTTTTTCTGGCAATCGATGGTAAAGGATCAAAGGAATCGGCAGAAGGCCTAAAGCACTTTGACCATTTTACCCTTACCTCTATCCACATTTACTACTCTCACGAGTTATTTTAGGGAAAAAAATGCCCAAGCATTTATGAGCAAACTCAAACAATCGAATTGTGTTGATTTTCTTAAGATTGAAAAATATAATTGGTAGGATATACTCCGTAACTATTATTATTATGCATTATGCATATAACAATAATAATAATAATAATAATAATTGGGTATAATTAGGGATGGCAATGGATCGGGGTGGGTCAGGATATGACACATCTATCACCCGATCCACCTCTACACCGACCCCACCCCTGACCCGCGGTGGGTGGAAGATTTCGAAACCCACATCCAACCCATCGGATGCGGGTACCCACCATGGATACCCACCACTTCTTATTTAATTAAAAATTTTTAAAATGTTAATAATGTTTAGAGTAGTTTCACGAATAAAATTTGTTAAATATATTAAAAAGATAAACTAATTAAAATATTCAAATACATTAAGTAAATTGTTCAATGTTTTCCAAACAAACTTATAATTAAAAAAAAAAACAGTAAATTTGAATATCTGATAAAAACAATGGAAACTGTTTCATAGGGCTATTGTTTCTATCCACTTGATTAGTTGATTTCTTCTTCTGTTCTTCTAACCTTGAGTGCTGTCAAAATATGTTTCCAACTCCAAATTTTCATCACATTGTAAATCAATCCTACAAAAAAAATTAATAGATAAACAAATAATTAATTAATCAAAGTAAATCGGTCATTATTTGAAAAATAAAAGTTGTATTGAAAATAAAATTGTTACCGAATCAACAATAAATGAATTAGCTTCATTTTGAATCTCTTTATCATCATCCAAAACTGTAGCAACTGTACAACTTGATTCCGCATTAATAGCTTTAGTTGAAAAAAATATATAAATTAAGTAATTAAACATAACTAAATTAAATAAAAGAAGAAAATTCATAAACACCAAGTAGCTTGTAGTCCATTGGTATCCGATTGGTCCCTTATGTGGGATGTCTTAGGTTTGAGCCTTGGTGAAGGCGTAGATAACTCACTGGAATAGCCAAAATATCTCTAGCAATTGCTCGCAAAGTAGGATACTTAGGACCATCCAATTTCCACCAAGTTAATATATCAAAACTTGATGTCATAAGTAATACTTATCTAAATCTGTTTTGGATGCACCTCTATTTTGTATTTTTTTTAGCTTGGAACTGCAAAGCCTGGCAAATACCCTTCTTCTTGCACTTTCGTTTCATCACTCAATTGAGAACAAGATATATCAATACTTTCATTGCTTGCAAACTTCATTTCATAATTCATTAACAATCTAACAAATAATTGACGAATTTCCATAATCTTAGATTCAGCCATATCACCATATATTTGTTCAAAGTAGTATTGCACAAGATTGAGCTTGTACCTAGGATCTAAAATACAAGCTAAACCCATAACACCATGAACTACTTCCCAATACTTCTCAAACTTTCATCATCTCATGTGCCATTGTGTTAATTGTAGCATCCGGATCACATAACCACTTATCAAGAGAGAATTTAATATCACACAGCTTTGGAAAATAAAGATTAGCAGTAGGATATATTGTCCCTGAAAAAAATTCTGTGATATCAAAAAATAATTTCAATTTTTTACAAATATCACTTGCAAAGAGCCAATCTTCATCACTTGGCAAAGACTTATATTTTGTTCCCTTTGTTTTAGACGAAGAAAAACTATTTTGTAAGGCAAAGCACTCTCAAACATCAAATAAGTGGAGTTCCACCTAGTTTTAACATCAAGAGGCAACTTCTTTGACGCTTGAATACCCAATTGTCTAACAGTATTTTCAAACATTTCAACTCTTTTTGGGGAAGCTGTCCAATACAACACTATCACGAATTCTTTCTATCCATTTCCCAATAACACAGAAACCATCTTGAACAACCAAGTTTATTATATGGGCAGCACAACGCATATGCAAAATTTCACCATTTAATAAAAGATCACTACCTTGAATCTTCTCCTTCGCATTATATTCTCAATTATTCCATCATTCACATAACAATTATCTAATGTAATTGTGCACAACTTTCTATCAATATTCCAATCCATAAAACTCATCATCAAATACTTAGCAACCAATTCAACTATGTGAGGTGATGGCACATAACAAAACCTAATTCGTATTTTAAACAATTTATTAGTAATTTATAAATACAGAACAAAATTAATATAAGTATAAAATATAAAGTAATATAAAAGTGTACCTTAATACTCATTTTTGCAACCTCTAAGTATCATCAATGTAATGCCCAGTGACAGCCATATAACCTTTTTTTTTTATGATCCGTTGTCCACATATCTGAAGTGATAGAAACTCTACCTTTAACCTTTTCAAGCTCCCTCATTGTTTTTTCCATTTTCTCTTTGTATATATTAAGAATGTCAGCTCTAACAGTATTTTGAGAGGGAATTTTATGGGAAAGAGACAAGTAGTTACTTAGTAACAGTAGGCATCATCTGTATATTTTTTGGAACAAAAAACCTACAACATCATAGTGAATAAAATCAGTCAATTAGATTATCATGAAAGCTTGATTAAAAAATACAAAGCATAAATAAAATCAAGAATCTAGCCAAACATAAATAAAATCAACCAGATGTACATAAATGTTTTTTAAAAAAATCAGTTATATACACTAGTTTTCACAGTTTCATATACTAAAATCAAGAACCCAGACATTAAAAATAGGAAAAAAATCTTCACATACTTGTTTTCGGAGGAAGTGATGATTCTACAATTTCAAACCCTTCGTTTTCACTCTTCAGTTTGAAATCCTTTATTTTCACTCTTCAGCAAGTGGCAAGTGGCATTCTGGCAATGTGATGCGAAAGACTGACATACTTCCAATTATTTGCTAATACAGTGAGATTCATACTTGCATAGTTATGGAGGAGAGTAAAGAATAAGACGATGATGAAGATTTTTATCTTCGCATTGATGTGTAGCGGATGAGACATTGGGAAAATCATTCGTTGCTTTAATTTATGCAGGAAACGAAGAGTTAGAGCAGTAAGTAATTGATTATGAATCGACTTCTACTCTTCAAAAACAACTTCTACTAAATAATAATTTTATATATTGTTATTAATAAATTATTATATACATATATATAATATGGAGGGTCGGGTCGGGTGGTACGCGGGTTTTGTACATAAAAGCTGCCCCCGACCCGAACCGCATCGGGTTTAGTTTTTTAACATCCACCCCCGATCCACCACCTGCTATCACCTAAACAACTCGACCCTTGCGGGGCGGATTCGGGTGAATACCCACGGATCGGATTGAAATTGCCATCCCTAGGTATAATTATCTTGAGAGATAATAGTTTTAAATTAAACTAGTGTTATCAAGAATTTAAATAAAATATTAAAAAAATAAAAAGATGTACAATATAAAAATATAGTTGAACTTCTCATATCTACCATACTAATAAGAGCCCAAGACAGTTAGGCTTATAATGGGTAGAAAAAATGACAGGTCAAATTTTTTAATCAAATGAATGGCTCAGATTGATCAGATTTTATTTTTCCTTAAGATTTTCTAATTTATCCATGAATATGATTATCTGTTAACGTTTCTGTTAAATATTATCTTTTCCGTTAATTTCTGTTAGTTCACCGTTAACTTACTCATTGATTTCAATAAGAAATGTCTTAGGTTTGAACCTCATCCCAATCAAAGTTGACATAATTAGTATTATAGTTTACTCTTATTAAATTATACTAGTTCTTTTACACGCTTTGCGCGAAAGAAAAAATGAATGATTATTTTTAAATAAGTATTTCAAAGTATATCAATGTAATATTATATCGGAGATGTTCATGTATAGATAAATAAATATTGAATTTGTTTATTTAAATTGGTAATTTAAAGTATATAAATGCAAGATAATATAATAGAGATTGATTTTATTGTCACTAAAATAAATGTTTGCAACCTTGTAATAACGATAGTCTAAATAAATACTACTTTTGGTTTAAATTTCTCTAATTCTTCTTAATTCTCTTTTGGATAGTATTATCATTGTCTTCATCTTTAGTACATGTCCTCTTTTTTTTTTATTTTTTTTTTTATTTTTTTATTGGTAGCGTGTCATGTACAATTAGGTTACTGGTGGTAGCATAGATGGATTCATCGTGCAATGAAATTATGATGTAGGAAGCTTTAGATTTGTCTGAGATTATGACGTAGGAAGCTATAGATTTGTATTGTTGTGTATATGAGGGGATCTTAGTTGTACTATTAACTCTTTATCTTACAAGCACTTATTGATATTTGGTAGTGGTAGTTTTTCCCTACATGTTTCATACGTTGTGAGATGTGTGTTGTAAGTTATCAGTATTGAACAAAATATTAATATTTATTATATTTGTATAAAATACTTGGTAAATAAATACATATAACATATTTTGTATTATAACTTTGATATTTAATTACAAGATAATGTAAAAAGAAGACAATGGACAATGTAGTGAATATAAATATATAATATATTAATAAATTTGAAGGTAATGAATCTTTGAATTGTAGAAAATAAAGATAATATAACTAATGAAATTATATCTCTTTTTAAATTTTTTATAATGAATAATTTTTTTTAAATAAAAGCATTATAGACATCTAATTCTAAATTAATTAAATGCATATGTATTTTTTTTTGTAGCTAGTACTTTATTTAATTTTATAAGAGTAATAACGTGGCGTACATACTTTTCATCAACAATAATGAAATCATTGATTTTTTTTTTTTAAATTTACATTCGTTGTTGAGACAAATTGTTTTGAGAGTTTGTCAATGACAATTGTCACGATTCCGGTCAATAGAGGATGACAATAAATAATTCAAAATATATAGTTACAATAGATATTGTTATAATAATATAGTAAAAATTAACTTACAAATTTCTTTAGAAGTTTT